TCCTCTCGTCTACTGGGTTAAGGGGGGCTGGAGAAATTCGACCAGGATTCCAGGGGAGCTTTGTGCATCGAGGTCGAGCGAAAATGGCTTGGCGCGAGACTCCACCGAGTTTTCCCGAGGTCGTCGGGAATCTTCGACCGGGCGTCGGCGGCGGGACTTTATCTCCCGAGGTTACGAGAAATTGGAGCGGTTTTACCATGAGGCCGGAGAATCGGGACCGGTCGTGGGCACCGTGATTTATTGGCGCACTCGGCGTGTCTCTCCGCCGATAGCCAAAAGTCCCGGCTCCTTATCATCTCGCGCACGTAACGAGCTTAATGGAAGGTCGACGAGGGATACCACGGGACGCGGTTTAAGGTTATGTGCGGACCAGCTAGCGCGATACTACGCTACCGGGGCGGAGATCGGCGAGGAAAGGTTAAGCGTTACGTAACCGGCCGCGTATATGGTTATCGTGCCAAGAATGCGCCGGTCGATTCGCACGCGCGAGCACGCTTCTCGCTCGCTCCTTTTCAGGTTATGTTCGGCCGCCGCCGCCGCGTCGCCGGGAATCGAATCTCTCCCCCTCGGTCCCGGCCGGAAGCGAAGCGCGAACGTGACCGAGGAATTTCACCTTTTTTCACTTTCTTCCCTCGACCTTAAAAAAAAATAAATAAAATAAAAGGAAAATAAAATAAAAATTACGAGAGACATTGGCATGGGGAGCGAAAAAGACGGAACGCTCTCTCATAATCGGCCCGATTGGTCGAAAGGTCCCGGCTTAACCCGAGTGATCTCCGCACTCGCGCCGTGCGCAGGCGCGTATCTAATCGCTGGATTCCGCGGGCCACGTGCGGTCGAGATGACGAAAAGCAGGAGAAAAGGAAAGAAATTAAAGGAACGGCGATTTTCGCCCCGCGGTTTAATTCGGTGAGTTAATCGGTTTGGGGAGGGGGCGGTTGCCGAGCGCCGCGACGCGGTCTTTTTTTTTTTTTCGCCGGCGACGCGGGGCGGCCGCGACTCACAGCTGATACGCGGGCGGAGATAGCAACGCGAGCAAGGCGGCGGCGGCGGCGGCGGAGGTACCGGTAACAGCCAGCTGAGTGGCGCCAGCCATCAGCTGTTGGTGACTCACGCGACCGTCGAGCTTGAGCGGCCCGACCACCGACACTCTTACGGCCTCCCGCACTCGCGCGCAGCGAGGCCCCGTATGCGAACGCGGCCGCGCTACCCGCGCGAGTGGGAGTGCCGCGAGCGCGCGGCAGCGCGCCCGCAAGAGCCGGCGAGCCGGCCAGGGAGCGAGTGAGAGGGCGCGCGCCGCGACCGCGCGGGAGCGAGAGAGAGGGGAGACGGCATCGATGCGGGCCAACGGGGGACGAGCTCGCGAGGCGCGACGGCGGGTCGCGCTGTCTCCCTCCCACCCGCGGCCGCCGCGTAGCTCCGTCCCTCTCGCTCGCGAGACCCGCAGGGGAGGCGGATCTCGGGGTTTGCCGGTAGACTCAGTCGGAGGCGCCTATGTCGACGCGCTCGCACCAACTCCCACGCGGACCGTCGTCGGCGGGTACCCCGAGTCTCCCCCGACCCCCTCCTCCACGTAATCGGCGAAACGGGCAACGCTAATCGATCGATCGGACGACTTTCCTCGACGAGGTGTGACGCTCTTCCCTCTCTTTTCCCGGCCTCTCGATCTCTCTGCCGACCTCTCGACGCCCTCCTTCGTAGGCGCGATTCGCTCTAATTTCGGAACGTGACTCCTTGGATCTTTTTCAAGTGCGGTGATTCAGCGCTTTCCTCCCTTTTAACGTGGTGATCGGCCGATCGGGCTCTTTCGTCAGAGAGGACTGCTCGGTTTCCGTTTCCGGGGATACGTCGAGGTTTCCCTATCGCCGGCTCCTCCCAGCATCCGGCGCCGAGGACGGGCTCGAGGTTCAAGGTCCGCGCGACCCACCCTCGCCGGGGCATCCGGTGCATCCGGCGCGTCGGACGGACTAGGAGAGAGAGAGAGAGAGACGCAGACGGTGGAACCCGTAGAGGGGAACGAGGGAGAGACGGAGATGCATCCGCTAACGCACTCTTTATTGATCCTCGCGCCGACCGGGTTAGGCTAGGTCAGCGTCGGCGGCGCGTCCGTAAACACCGCGAGGCCTATGGACCGCGCGGAAATTCCGCATCCGAATGATCCCGATGAAGATCGACCGTGACTTTGTTTCCCGCGATCCTTAATTCTCGATGGAAATTTTAGAAGAAAATTCGACGAATGAAAATCTCCCGGACCCTCCACTCGGTTTTTTTTCCCTTTTGGATACTGACCTTGCCTCCGAATTTTTTTTTTTTCCCGTCAACCATCTTCCTACATTTGGCAATTTCCGCTCGCTGGTGGGGGAGGGAAGTCGGGGGTGGGTGCCACCTACGCCGACCCAGTTCCCTCCGCGACTCGGATCCGGCCGAGCTCTCTCGGCGGGCATCCGGCGAGCGGGGCTCTGACGTCACGGCAACCGGCCGGCGGCGCACCAGCTGATCCGCTATAGCCACGCGGCCTCGCGACCGGCGCCTAGCGCGGATTGAACCGTGGAACGCGCGAAACGCGCCGGCCCCGCTGCGGGGGACGGGGGGGTACCACCTAGCGATACGTGGGGTATATCTCCGCTTTAAATCGCGCCCGGATATCGAAACGCGCGATCGGGGAAGACGTGCCATTAGCATTTGTCATACTCTCTGACCTACATATCGATAATCGACTCGCGCGAATGTTTCGCACGGCGGACGGCAATTGCCAAGCAATCGGGATCGGTTTTCCTACGTTCCTGCCTGGCCTTTCCCCGATACGCGAATAAACATTCCGACATATTGACTCACGTCATAGTTATGTTCGCCACTGAAGTTTCGCTACCTTGACGATATACCTATTTAATTCTTATCATTGCCATTTAATCGTCACTGTCGAGGATTATTGCGTCGACCGAGTTTTCAGGTAATATCTTATTACCTTTAAGGGAGAAAAAAAAAAGTGTTAGTCGTGGGCCGACGCGATACGATGATTTTTATTTTGTATCGGATGCGCGGGTGTTTATGCGGTGCACTGTACAGTAGGTGAGGGAGCGGGGCACCTTAGGGCGGCGTGTTTGAGGAGGGCGAGGGGGGCGACCGCATCGCCCGGTCACGTGGGGCGCGCGCGTACGCATATCCCACGTCCCGACAAATTCGGTGCGACGTCGCCCGACGGATCGACGCGTCGGGGCGGCCATTAATGATTCACGGGGGCGGGGGCGACCAAGGGGCGCGGGCGCTCGTGTGAGAGAAAGTCGCGTATTCGACCCGACAGGTCGGACGGCCAATGAATCGCCTCTGCCGGGATGGAAACCTCGCGTGGCGAACGAAACGAGAGCACTTTTCTTTATTTTTTTTTTCCCTCTCCCCCCTCTGATTCGACGTTATCTCTCCTTTCGCGGTGGATGATACGTGGGAAGGCTCTTCCTATTTTTCAATATTTATTATATATATTATTCACTTCATTTTAATATTCGCGAAGTTTCATTGTATGAGATAGGGTAGATAAAGAGCATGATTTCGTTGAAATAAAAAGAAATCGTGATTTTTAAAAATCAAAATCAGGTATTTACGATCGGCGATTTCAATGAAATGATTTAAATCACCTCAATCCTGGGATGAACTCGTGAAACTGGACTTTAGGGTGGCATCGACTCGTCGAAAAAATTCCTGGCATCGACCATCCGGGAATTTTACAGAGTTCGGCGTCGCGGACCTTGGACGACGCTTCCCACGGACCGGAGAGACGTCGTCCAAGCGAAATTCGACGACTACCGTCCAGGAAGGAGGGAAACTTGCCTCGCGACGCTCCCGCGGTGTCCGCAGAGACGTGTTTTTTTTTTTCCGGTTTTTATATATATATTTTTTCTTTTTTACTTCCGCGGGAAAGGGCGCACGGAAAACGAGCGCGCCTAGGCGACGCCGTTTTCCCTGGGCACCGTTTATCTCGGCACTTCTGATTGCGATAGGCGAGACACCTGACACGTCGCGAACGTTGCCCGAGTGATTTACTCGAAAGTCGGAGCACTTTCTCACGGACTAGTTCCACGGGGGGGACTATCTTCGCAACAGTTGTCGCCGCTCGGGCCCCGACACGGCGATTGCATGTCGCCTCGTTTATCACGCGTGCACGACGCTCGACGTCTAAGTGCGCCGCCGAGCGGCCGGCTCTCGATTAATTTCCCCGCTCGAATATCGCGAAGACGACAAGTGCCGTTCGGCTTGAATTTCGTCGCTAATCGAGGCGCCCCGGTCTCTTCCCCTCGGTCCCGCGAAATTCGATGCAATTCCCTTCCGCGGTCACCCGATAGCGGAAGACAAATATTCCGCGTATACGCGACTTCGTCTACGTGAAATCGAACTCCTACTCCGCATATGTCGGGTCTCTCCTTTTTTTTTTTTTATTTCAAATTCTTCACGCCGTCGTCGAATTCCAGCTAGTAACGCAAATACCAACGGACGGACTTTAGGCTCTTCGGGGGAGTTCCTCATTCCTCTCTTCGATGTCTATTTAATTCTCGCCTAATTACCATGCTTATTTCGGGGACAGATACATTTTTTTTTTTTTTTTTAATGAAATTCCACGAGCATCGCGTTTCTCCTTAGGGCCTCCGGAATTTTCATACTTCTCCCGGTACCTGGAATATTGAAATCAAGGGTCACCTGACTACGCACGAGTCTCCATATGGATCGTCTCTCTCGCCCTCGACGAAACCCCGTCTCTCTCTATCTCTCTCTCCCCGGTTCTTTCCTCCCGGCGTGGCGCGCGCCTCGTGACTCAGCCCTGCGGAGCGCGCGGGGCTTCCTCTCTATTTTCGTGACGAGTCCGCGTACCTCCGCGCGCGCGCGCGGCGTCATTACGTAAGCCGAGTCGATCCGAGTGGGGCCGAGTGGGGCCGAGTCGATCCGAGCCAGGCCGAGTCGGGCCGAGAAGCGCGCGCGCTAATCGCGGGACCTCCGCTTGGTGGTTGCAGCGCCAGCGAGATCGCGGAGGAGAGCCCTGCGGCCACGAGCGCGGTCGAAGTCGCGGAGGCCGTCGAGCACCAGCAGCCGCATCACGAGGACCCGCAGCAGCAGCAGCGCGCGGAGCCGCAGCCGCAGCTGGCGCAGCAGACGACGAAGCAGAGCCACGTGGTCGGCGGCAGCGGCGGCGGCGCGGCGGCCTGCCGCGCGGCCAATCAGGGCCTCGCTCTAGTCGGCGTAGCGCTCGCCGGCAACGCCGGCCCCGTCAATCACGGCAACGCCGCACCGAGCGTCGGCCGAGTCACGCCGCGCAGCCACATGGAGCAGGAGAAGCGGATACGGCGAGAGATCGCCAATAGCAACGAGCGCCGCCGCATGCAGAGCATCAATGCGGGCTTCCAGTCGCTGCGCACGCTCTTGCCGCACCACGAGGGCGAGAAACTCTCCAAGGTGAGTGCCCTTTCCCTTATCCGGGCCGTATAAGCGCCCTGGACCCACCCGCTCCCGACGCCGTCCACTCTTGTCGAATGTTTGACGTTTGGGTTCTTAAAAAAAAAAAAAAAAAAAAAGTTCACTTTTGCTCTTTGGACGCGACCCTCGGTAGGCGGTTCGGGAGCGGATGGGTCGACGACTCGCGGCCGCCACGATAGCCTCGTCCACGTGCCCGGCGGCGGCCCGCAGTCGACCGCGACCTTCGGGTAGAGCGTCGCGCCAAGTACTACGCCAAGGGTCCCGAGCGATCCTCCGGACCCACTGTCCGGGAACGACCTCGGCCCTCTCGTGCACGGGGTGACGTGCGTACACACGGTTCCCTTTTATGCCGCCCCCTGGCACGGGAGGGGTCCAGGTCACGAATTGAAATCCTCGCACGTATTCAGAGAAACCGACGGAAGGTGCGCCACGTCGCCCCGGCTCTTTGCCGGCGCCCCGGTTGGCCGCATCCACGTGGGGGATGCACATGGATTTTTTTACGTATACGCGAATATACATACACTTGGGCGTGTGCGTACACGCGATAGAGCGGAGCCGAGCATTGATACCATTAACACGTTGCCATGCTCGGCCCGCCCACGTGCTCGGGAGTCCGGCCTCTTGCGGATCTTCCCCGAGACCGACCACCGGGTCGTTGCATGGGCACGATGTCTGATTGCTCTGATTACTCGCAAGGAGCGTCCGCAAGCCCCTTTTATATGCGGCCACCTCTGCGAGCCTGTCCCCGTGGATTTTCTATTCTACGTGTGTTTTCCTCGCCGACGACGTCGAGATCGGCCTTGCACGCTATCTGAATTAAATTTGCCTATTTTTCCTAGTTTTTTTTCCTCTCTCTCTCTCTCTTTATCTCTAATACACCCATCATCCTGGACTTCGTAACCCGACAGTAAGTAGCCCCTGACGCGGACTGACCGGAAGGAGACTGGTTTACTATACGTAGTATCGTATTGTTTATTAATTTAATAATCCAATAATGTCCTTGGTAAGGGATGTTCGCTGCTCGCGATAATTTTTTTTTCTCTCCTCCTCCTCTTTTATTTTACTTTTATTTTCTTTCCCACGTGGTGACTCCTCGACGGACCATCTCGAAAGAGGACGAACCCGTGTATCGTCTTTCCTTCGATTTCACCTTCCCCGTGGTCGGGATATCCCCTTACGGAGACCGTCGGTGGCGTCGAGGTGCCCGGAGAAAAGGACAAGAATGGGGAGAGAGAGAAAAAAAAGAAAAGAGCCCTCTTCGAGTATTCTTCCTCCCTTTGGGAAATAATACGGTTAACGAGGCAAGACGCGCTTCACGAGGCAGTTTTCCTTTCCCGCGGCCGACAGCTGTCGTCCACGTGTCGCCGGCGCGGTACCGGAAACTCTTGAGTCTCTCCCTTTTGCCCCCCCCCCCACCCCCCGGAAGTCGTTCGGAAACGTCGGCACCGGTCGGACGACGCCGTTTCTCCGAGCCGATAGGGAAGTGACCCTAGACGAGCCTGGAACGACGCTCGGCCGATGGGGCGTCCCTGGGGACGACGTCGCCATGCGTGACCGACGCCCGTTCCGGCCGCGTATTTCGACGTCGTTACTCGTTTTCAACGAATGCCCGCGCCGCGTTCGACGAAACGCCGCCCATTAAAGGGAGCAATCCCTTTAGAATTTAAAAAAAAAAAATCTACTTTTTTTTTTTTACATATTTCGAAAATGTAATATATTGAAAATATACTGGATTCTTATTTGATATTTCAATACTTAAAAGTTGTAATAAAATAATGTGAAAATTTTAAAATGATGCGATTATTTTATCGGCATTAAAAAAATGACGAATTTTCGGGCGTCTAAAGGGTGTGCTTCCTTTAAGACCTATCCGGTGTCAAGGTGGGACCAAAGTGGCGTACCCCGTGAAATTACAATTTTTGTAAGTATTTTTAACGATGTGTGTAAGTAAATTTTTTTTTTTCTTTAATTAAAATTTCTTGGGCGTCGGGACCTTCCTTAGAGTTCTCGTGTTCACGCGGTGGAGTTTGACACGATTCGATTAGTCCGATTAGGAGGAAAGTACCGCGAAGGATTGAAACTTCAGATGTCACTTTCGTGTCACTTTAAGGGTGGCGCGCGGTTTGGTCGCGATCGATGTAACTACCGACCCAGGAGGTGTCGTGTTTTATTCTTTGGGCTTTTATTGGCCAGTTCCTTGTCGTTACGTTTAAGGTTACAGTTGCGCGAGGGGAGGGGCGAGGGGCGTTACGGCGAGAGTTTCGAGGCCACCACGTGGACCGGAAGCGACTCGCCGGTCTGGGGACCTCGGCGATCGGCGCCGGTGCCTCCGGGTTCCTCGACGTCGAGGACGCGGGGGGCCGGGGTGGGTGGGGCGGAACCCCCCCCGAGTCGTCGACCCGGTCAGCGCTCGCGGCTAAAAATAATACGTCGGCGCGAATCGGGCCAGAGCTAGGCTCTCCTCTCCGGGGCGGCCAACCTTCGCAAGGCGCCTCTAACCTTTAACCGCGGGCCTCCTCTCTTCCTCTTCCTCCGGGAGGAATAGCTCCCAGGAATAGTCGGCGACCGAGAAAGGGAGGAACGGGCCACCTAGTTGCCGAGGGGATGCTCATGGGGGTGCAACGGCGCAGGATCGGCGTCTTGGTCCATCCCACGCGATTCCCCGGGTCGGACGGCAACCTAACGTCGGTCGACCTGGACCATGAAATCGCATGAATCTGGGTTCCCTGTTGATCTCTCGATCCCCTGAGAGGGCGACAGGGACTTGCTCTTCAAGAAATTCGGTTCCCCAATTTCTACCGAATTCCTGGGTAACTTCGCGGAAAAGCGAGGAAGGTTGGAGGAGCCGAATTTTTCCGAATTTTCTTTTTTTTTTCTTTTTCCTTTCTATCGTTTATCTCTCGGGTTGAATTTTTTTCGCGTAACGCGACGGGTATGTCGTCAAGGGGGGCGTAACGGGGACAGTATCCCGCGGGGGCCTCTTTCGTAACGCGATATTTCGCAGAGAGAAGGACAGAGAGAGAGAGAAAGAGAGATAGGGAGAGACCGGTCCGGCCACATGTTTCGGTTCCCACGCATTTCTCTTAAACGACGCCCCCTCCCCGGCCCGCGGTCTCGTCTTTCTCTGGTTCCTTTCGTCCCTCAAGGCGCTCCCCCCCGAGCCCGCCCTCTATGCTTCCTCCCCACCCGGCGCCCGCCGAAGGCCACTGCCGATGATGAATTTCGCGAAGCCCTGGCCTACTGAGCGTTTTTAAACCTCGCCTCCCCCTCCGCGCCCGGGCCGGGACCCCCTCTCGAGGAGACCCCCCGTCCGCCATCTTGCACTGGACCGTTTCCCTTCTCTCTCTCTCTCTCTTTCTCTCGAACCCACCCTCTATTTTTTATTTTCCACTCTTCCCACCCGGTACCGTTGCTTTTCTTCACCTTGCCGCGGCAGTTTCTCGCAACCCCATCCACCTTGCCCCAACAGTGATTCACCCTGTATCCTTTTTCATCTTCTCCACGTGGAGCGGTTCTCACGGGTCGATCGATATATCTCACACGAATCGATCTATACGACTTGAAAAAAAAAAAAAATAAATAAATAAATAAAAAATAAAAAAAAATAAAATGGAAAATAATCATTCAAATTGGAAATCCTTAATCTCATCTCGCCGTCACCTCGACACCATTTCGTCCGGGGCCAAAGGGTCCATTATGCCTCCGTGTCACCTTTATCTTCGTCGCCTTTCATCCCTCCGCCCTGTCCTCGTGTACCTCTCTTCCTCTCGCTCTTTCCTCCGTCCGCGGAGTGTGCGAAACCGCGCACTCCCCGGTAGCCACGGCCCCGGCGCGATTTCGCCACTCGCGACGCCCGGCCCCAAAAAGAGGAGAGACCGCGCCGAGAAGAAAGGCGTCCTGTTCACATGTGCCGGCAGGTCTCCGCGCGACGCCCGCAGACGCCTCGACCCATTTTCATCCGGTGCACCAGACAGAAATAAAAATCAACCGTCCGTCCTCCGCCGTTTAATGCTCGTTGCGCCCTCCTCCCCGTCCCTTATCCTCTCGGTCGTCCCTTTTCTTCCGCCCCCCCTCCTCCCTCCTCCCCTTATCCGCGCGTCCCACGCGCTCCGCGGTAAAAGGCCGCGCGCACAATGGGGACGCGGAATCCGCGCCGGCTCGGCCGCAGACCGGGCCGGCGTCGCGGCGCGCCCTTCTCCTTGAACTTAGCGCGCGGCCCTGGACCGCGCCGCGCTCTTTCACCCGGCGGGACACGCACCAGAGGGCGGGGGGCGGGGAGGTGAAGAGCTTCTTTCTCATTCCCTCCTCCTTTATCCCTTTTTACTCGGCCTCCGTTTTACGAGCCCATATCCTGTCCTTTGCCGCCAGCAAGGATTGTCTCGCGGCTTTATTTCCGCGGATCTCTGCCGCATTGTCCCGAGGCGTGGGATTTTACTTGTTGCTTCTTTGTGCGTTTCCTCGAGGCGCGGGCATTTTTTCTGATGATTTAAATTCCATCCCCCTTTCTCTCTCCCTCCACCCTGAGATTAAAGAAAGAATTACTTGGTCGACGCGAAGAAACACGCATTGCCGCGAGAAAATCCCGCTATCGGGGACGTCCAAAGGGATGTCGGATCGAGGGAAGGGGATCGTTTTAAATGATTTTTTCCCCGACGAGATAATTATGCTTCTTGCAGTTATGAGCGATCGAGGCGAGTATTTGTACTCGTTTCGGTCAATTGGTACTTTTCTTTCCTCGGCGCAAGTCTCTGTTATTCATTATATAACGCTGCGGCAATTGGGGGAGGGTAGTGGGCGCCCCCCCTTTTCGGCACGCTTTTTTAACCCCTTCGTTGACGGTAACTCCACCCCTCGGTGGCTGCATTATTTCGCGGTCGACCCCTGGGGTAAGGGGTCGGTCCTTTTCCTCCTCTCTTTCTCTCAGTACACCTCTCCCTTCGACTTTGCCATGGGACGCGCGTCCTCCCGGCAGGGGCCGG